TCTGATGCACGTTGTGTGAGGCATATGGTTGAGTGTCTGATCACCGACAATTTTCTGTTACTGTTCGACCACGCGACATCACAGAAATAGTCTTCTGTTCAGTTCACTGACTATTCCGAATGACATGTGTTTCAAACATTTTTTTGAGTTGTTTGTTAGTGCTTATAGATGATCACCTCACAAGCTAGCAGTACAGCTCTATATCCAACCACCAAATAGGTCAATATCTTCTTACTCTTAATTGTGTTTGTTTATGCTTCCACATACTTTATTCATCAATATTTGCCTAACATGATGTCTTCTTGTGTTATAGGACCGACCGTCACTGTCACTGAGCAAGTGCAACTGGATAATGTGACAAAGGATTCTGAGAGTGGATATGGAAGTGAAGATATAGATACGACACTTAGTCCGACTGAAAATAATCACACTGATGCAAGTGTGTTACAGGTTGTTGGCAGTGATAATGCCACACAATCACAATTGCTTCATGGCTATTACCGCCACCATTACGGCCACCATGGATGCCATGGACACCACAAACATCACCATCATCATCATCATCGTCATCATGGACATCATCACCACGGTCATCATCACCACCATCATCATCACGGTCATCACCATTACGGCCACCGTCACCACCATCATCATCACGGCTATCACCATTACTGTGGTCATCACCACCACCATCATCACGGACATCACCATCATGGACACTGTTGACTTCATGAATGACTCCTGTAATCATGTTCCTATCAGAACACTTATTTCGTTGTTTCCATATTTCCTCTAAAATAACCTTCAAATTATCCTATAGGCTATCCGGACCAGTAGGACATCCATTTGTGATATTGTAATTAATTCATCCAATTTGTGCTAAAATATAGTTAGTCTGCAGTAATTTTCTATTCCGTTCTAATTATCGCAACTTATTCATATTGAAGTCAAAATACTCTCGGTTCTGTTTTAGTATTACTGTGAGTAACTATTCTGTTTGTCAACTACTTTTACACAATTGCTCAAATTAATTGAACTACAAACATGTTGACTAAAGAAATAAGCATTCGTCTAGATGTCCCTGATATCGGTATTTCGCGTTAATTCATATTCGAAATCGAGTAATCAAATTAAGATTCCTAGATCAATCATTCTTCCTTCACCATATAAACAGGTTATTCAAATCATAAGACATACAATGCTTCGACAATTCTTATATCACTTTATAAAATTATTAATAAATATCAAAACGACCATGAGCATCAAAGACGAAATACATCGGCATCTTCGTTATCAACTTATTCATATTGAAGTCGAAATAATCTCAGTTCTGTTTTGGTATTACTGTGAGCAACCATTCTGTTTGTCAATCACTTTTCGGCCTCCAGAGATCCCTTGTTCCACTAGCACTACAATTCGATCATGCTATAGCCCATGTGATCCAGCAAACACATTGAACCATAGTCCAGGCATAGCTAAAACTCATACCTTCGATAAGGATGCTCTCGGTTTTTTTACACTACACACTCCCTTTTTAAACTTATTACTTATTAACGCACGTTCACTTCTGAACAAAATTTCAGCCTTGAGAACCTTAGCATTTCTAGCCAAGCCTTCTTTTATACTTATCACTGAAACGTGGTGTTATCCAGCAGTGACCGATTCCGAATTAAATATCCAAAACTATCGACTCTATCGCTGTGACAGAGAAACTAAGCGAGGAGGCGGTTGTCTTATATTTGCTTTGGATACCTTAACAACTAACAAAGTTGAAGATAGTATCTTGAATAGTTTACCAGAATCAATCTGGATATCAATCGATACCCTAAACCATAGTCTACTCCTAGGTTGTATATACAGAGCTCCTGATAGTACTGATAATTTGAATGATCTGATTATCAATGCATTTATACACGCATCTACTCTAAACTTCAGCGCCAAGATTATCACTGGTGATTTCAATTATCCTGTTATTAACTGGAGTACCGGTAGTTGTCAGTCTAGCAATGTTGAATTTTTATCAATCCTTAATTTGTACTGCTGGTCACAGTGGGTTCGTACCCCAACAAGGGGTGATAATACACTTGATCTAATATTTAGTAGAGATATCATTCCCCTATCTGTACAAGTATACAACGAGTTTGGAAGCAGTGATCATAAGATAGTAGCTTGCGCTCTCCCCATCTATACCTCCTACAACCCACCAATTCAAAGAACCTGCAATTATAGAGACTATAAGCATGCAGACTGGGACCTCTTGCGCTCACTGATCAAACTGTCAGACTGGGATGAATTCTTCTCATGTAATAGTCTGACAGATGCCATCAACATATTCTATTTGATTGTTAACTCTTGTCTAGACTCCTGTGCACCAATTAAGACTTACAGGATTAGTAAACATTACGTATTATATATACCAGCTAAATATCGTAATAAACTAAGACGCCTAAAGAAACGTTATTTTAAATCTAACGACTTCACAGCAGTCACACAAATAACAATAATTTTTAACCAAATTAAAGAGAAACATAGGTTAAAAGCCATTAATGAAGAGCTATTAGCACTACGTACTAGCTCAAAAGTGCAAAACCTAATCCACCTTTACAATAAACGTGCTAAATCAACTCAAAAGGTTGATATACCATGCATCCTGCATAATAATAGTTTTATATATGACCCAAAAACTATAGCAAATCTTTTCAGTGGTAATTTTGCAAATGGCAAAGAATCCATAAATGGCTCTGTTTCTAGAGTTATATGCTTGACTGGTAACTCCATTAAATCTATCTCCTTCACATGTCTGAAAATTAGTAAGGTTATAAATAACCTCAAGGTTTCGAAAGGTCACGGTGCAGACGGAATTCCATCATCTCTCTACAAATATGGTGGTCCAGATATCCAACTTCTTCTCCTTAAACTGTTTACCCTCTCTATGGAATCAGGCTCTTATCCTGACCGTTGGAAAACCGCGTACATCATACCACGTTACAAATCCGGAGACAAGACTGACATGAACAACTATCGGCCAATAAATATTACTCCAGTTATCTCTAGGATTATGGAAAAAATTATTAGTGACGAACTATCCAACTATTTATTGACTGAACAATTTATTGGTGATTCGCAACATGGATTTCTTAAAAATCGATCTTGTATGACATGTCATTTTGACTTCTTTAATTTAGTCTATTCGCTTCGTAGCCAAGGATATCTAGTATTAGTGCTATACCTGGACATTTCTAAGGCCTTCGACATGGTCAACCACCAACTTCTCATAAGTAAACTCGCATCTTATGGGTCGAAAACCCGTTACTAGCCTGGTTTGATTCCTTCCTCAGCAATCGACATCAAATAGTTAAAATCAACTCTTCATTGTCGAACGCAGTCCCTGTTAGAAGTGGGGTAATTCAGGGTAGTGCCTTAGGTCCTTTGCTCTTTTTAGTTTTCATTAATGATATTTGTGAGTGTTTTAGTGTGGGTAAGTCCCTTTCGTTTGCAGACGATCTTAAGGTGGTGTACTCATTTTCTCCACATGAGCTGAGCAATATTCGAAATTGCATCAGCATGGAGCTTAACAAGGTAGCACAGTGGTGCTCAAAATGGCAGCTGGAGCTCAATACAGCTAAATGTGGTTGGCTATGCTTCGGTGATACATCACTCAACATCGATCTTACCATAAATGGTGAAATGTTATCTAGGTTACACACAGTAGTAGATCTAGGACTTAGGTACTCCGACGACTTGTCGTTTACTGAACACATAATGAAACAAACGTTCAAGTCTCAACGCCTTATAGGTTTCATAACTCGAAACCTTCATAACAGCGAATCTCGTATATTAATGTACAAAGTCTGTGTTCGACCACTCCTCGAATACTGCGCGTTTCTCCTTAGTAGCACGCGCATAAAGGATAAATTAAGACTGGAATCAGTACAGAGACGAGTTACACTTCGTACTCTTGGAACTGATAGTGTCTTGACATATAGTTCTGGGTGTAGTAAACTAGGGCCTGACCCTTTATGGGAGAGGAGACTCAAACTTAACCTTATCTTCTTTTTCAAAATACTTAACAAACTCTCCTTCACATCCAGCCAGGCGATTCATTATGCTAAGGCTTCACATTACGAAATTCGTAACTCCTTGTCTTTAGCGAAACAAACATATTCTGGATCTTCACTCTATATGAATTACTTTACCTGTAAGTTTTCTAGACTGTGGAATAAATTACCTCAAACTATCCGCATGTTAAACTCTCTCCCATTGTTTGTTTGCTCAATTAATGCCTTTTGCGCCTCTGAAAATGCATTAAATGCTCTAGCGCCTGCAAGTGTATCTTACTCCACAAGTGAGATTATCGGAAATTTAAGTGTTTAACCTCTTACTTGCTAACATTGTTTTGTTGTTCCGTGCTCTTTGCTTTAATCTTACTTTCTCTAGTTGTAGATAATTATCAATAACTCGCTCTGGCACTGGTAACAACCTTACAGAATAATGTTGGTCAATCATCAGGCTATCCACTTGATGAAAAAATGACAAGTTCCCTGGTGTTGCATTGACTTGCCGTGACATATGCCATATTTAAACTGTTTATCAATTACTAAACCAGCAAACATAAAACCTTATAATTCATGTTTGTTCTCTACATTAAATGTTGATTTTTATAACAATCTGATCATGCCTGTAAACTGGTGTGAATTCTGTAAATATTATTTTCAGAATATATTATTATTATTGTTATTATTATTCGTATTCAAATATTACATGAAACCACACAACCAACAAGTGTGACAAGGATTAATGAAAATCACAGAGATAACGAAATTTATTGATTATTTTGACCTCTTGATTTTTAATATTTCATTTCGTTTCTGATTGTTCTTCATCGTAAATTATTTATTGCAGTAGGAATTCATCTATTTCCATTATTGTTTAATCTTAATACTATTCTCAACACTACTGTTGATATAATTCAGTGATCTTCTTAGACATTTTCCCTTCAACTTTAAATGACTTTTGCTTTATTATCAAGATTTTCTAATTGTATTGTTATCATTATATTTTTAAAACATTTCACAAACATAATTATGAGTACAACAGTTCTCGCACCATATTTCTTTCTAATTCACCAGACCACTAGCACCGTTTCTTGCGTGAACCATCACCACGTGATTGTTCTTCCTTGGAAATATTCTTTGTCTTGTTTATCCCATTTCGCTTTTTGTTTTTGCTGCTATCATCACAGGTTTTTGAGTCTTCTGTATCGTCACTGTTTCGAATTCTTGTGTATTCTACGATTTCTTTAGGAAAGTGAATTACAATACATGTACAAATATAGATAGAACACATTATAGACATTTACTTTATTGTCAGTAGTTGTGGCGTGTGTGTAAAATATTTCAGATAGAGAGCTCGATAATGGACTATCAACTATGAAGATTCCTATCACATCTCAGTAAATATCTCATCTGTATGATTATGCTCCGATGAAAAAGACGTCAATGTCAGAATATATCGAATGACTAGTACGATATATGGGAAATTGTTATTCGATGAGTTACTGTGAATATTACTTCTCGAATACCTTTTTGTATAATAAAGATTGTATTGGCGGTAGAATTCCGTTGTCGAGGTTTCACCTGATATCAGACCATGGATGGTCCTTGATCTAACTTTTAGTTAGATCGAAATATTATGAGACTAATCACAATATTCATTCCTAATGAATGGTGTGTACAGTTGATAGCCTAAGTGATTATGACATGTTGTCGCTATTTGGGCTAAAATTCATGGTTTCATGTCATACAGTGAACGTTGGTCAGTTGTGCGTTTTAGCAGAATGCAGCGTCTGTTGAAAATCCTACTCAGGTTTCCTATTTACCAGCATTTACTACACTGTTTACTATGCTTCCTGGACCTGACACAATGAGAATTAGTTCAAATGCACGAAATACGATAATCAAGGTTCCTGATATAGTGTGCCAGTGAAAAGTCGTAGAATGGGAAGTCCACGTTGTGTCAATCAAAAAGTTCGTAGTGAAAAATCAATGTGAACGGTCGAGAAATTGTTTCAACTTCTAGATTTTAGTCATGTTCGTGTATATCAATGAGTGTTTATGCATGTGATTCGGTTTAGCATAGTAAACTACCTACTACACACTTAGTCTTCTCATTTTATAGTTCGATGGAGCTTGTCTTTGGAAAGTTTGTGTATCAGTATTTGTCTTGGATACCGCACACCATAACAGTCATGTGAATAATGTTTATTCACTTTAAATATATGATGTTTGAAATAAGTTTACTTCAATAGATTTTGTAAACTCGAGTTACGTGAAAAAGATGAACTTACCATCGTCATCATTCTCCTCTGCCTTGACTCCTTCGAATAGCATCAATGAGAATAAGGTGATGATTATTAATTTCATTTGTGACATGATATAGTTTCGAGTCAAGTGGTCAGTAAATATGATACCAACTCTGAAACATAAACAATACATCTAGCTCATATAACTACCTAAATCTCCCTCACAAATTCTTAGATACTTTCAAGTAGAAGCTGGAAACATACACAACTCACATTGAAGTCAAAACTCAATTTCGGCTTTTATATACACAAAGATTCAAGTGAAATTCGATGTTTCATTTGATAGACAAAATGATGAATGAAAAATGTTTAGATTTTTGACAATACTTTGAATCTCATCACTTTCATTTATTAGGTTCAATTTTCAAAGTTTGTCAATCGAGTCGTTTCAATGTTGAACAGTCAATTAGATAATTCAAATTCCGTCGTCTCATTTTGTCTTCTCATATTTAACAGACTATGATGGTTCATTTTTCACATCCATTCATCTTGTCTCAATGATTTTGATTTGACTGGACTGATTATATTACTGATATAAATGTGTGTTTTAATTGACAAAGAAATTGCTGATACTAACTAACATTTACATGTACAAGATGTAAGTGATTAGTCAATAAAGTAGGTCATATTTATTTCAAGTATATAGAATGAACTGAGTCTATATGACAAGTGGTATAAAAGTCACTGTCTTTAAAGTGTAACATCTGGCGTCGTTAATTGTTAATATGTGAGATGGAGAACGAAGTGAACATTATGCTAACTCGTATCATAATTCAAATCAAACTGAACGTAGTATTTTTCAAATAAACAATGATATAATATATCGGAATGTTGACGTTCTTGATTGAATTTTGATTATTGCAAGCCATAACCTCTATGCTCAGGGATTTGGTTAAGATCTCATCACTTTGACAGTCGGTTAAATTAGACTTGGAAATCTATTGTTGAGTGTTGGAATGCTTTCCTTTCCAACACATTTCATCTATCAAGAATGAATTAAATTGTAATCGAAAAATCAATACCATTATTTGTGATTATTTTCACGTTAGAGTTAGTAGATGGCTTTTTGTCAGTCACTTCAAATCATTACTGTAGCTTCCACCTAAGAAGAATTTAAAAATCTTTCCGGTTCTCTGTTGATGTGTGTGAGAATGTTGAGATTTCAAAGCATAATTTGATTAACACAATCAGCTTCAACTGATCTAATTGGAAAGATAGTAGACGCTAAATAGTTCTGTGTTTAGGATAAATATATTTTTTGTTAGATCTCAATGAACAGAAAAGTTGTACTTCTGACCTTTCCTTACTTAATGTAGGTCACTCCTTCAGAGCAAATAAATAACTGAATTAAATTTACACTGGTTCAAATAGAATATTTACGAATAACTTCCTAATGCATGTTCAATTTATTTGAGACTATCAAGTTATGTGTTTGTTTAAACACTCATATTATTTACAATAAAATGATATTGTCAGAATGGGGACGTGGTTGTGGATATTGTAATCATTCAATGGTAGAATTTATGACTCGATTTCACCATGATTTGCACTGTTGAGGAGTCCCATGCTAAGATGAAATGGCCATCCAATGCTTCCAGATTTTCTATGGTGGTCTATCTTATATCGACTCATTAATTCAACTATTCATATGATATGTTAATCATAACGGTTTTGTAAAATTAACTCCACATTTGAGTGTTACAGGTAAATTTTCAACTAATCATCAAAAAGAATAGTCAATTTTATGAATTTCAGCATTGAAAACAGTTGAAATGTTTAACATGTACACACGTATTATGATGAAATCATCAAGTCGGTTGATAGGGATAAATGATGAATAAATCACAATATTAATATTAATATTTCCTTGAATAAAAAGAAAACAACCATGAAGTGCTTCTTGATTTTCTTTGGTTATCTAAGATCAATCCATAAATGTATAAAACAAAAGATGTATCTGCTAGTTTCCGTATTCCAATGAGATAATCTAGTTCAAACTCTCACTGTAATATTATTATGTTATAGATGAACTTCAGGAATTCTTATTAAATTCAATTGGTATTGTTTGTTTGAATCTTCCCATTGCTGTTTAGGACTGCAATTGATCAGTCTCTTATTGGCATATGTGCATACTGTGCGTACTGTCTCGATATTCCATTAATTCACAAGAATTATAAGCGAAGATGGACTCAGTAGCTGAATGAATAACGCGATGGTGTTTTCAGCTAAAGATACTGGGTTCGAGTCCCAGAGTGAATGTATAGTTTATATTAATCATTCTTGTTATATCTGGAGCCTTGATTCTTAATATGCCGCGAACTACTTGACTACTTGAACGATAGAACCCGCAAAACGTCGCAAAAAGAGAGAAGACAAAGACTGGTAAGCAGGAAGTTTTTTGCCCCGAACAGTGTCAAAATATAGCACAGAAATCTCGTGTATTTATAGTTATTGGCTGAAAATAAATTATCATTTAGGTCAACCAATAAGCACATAGGTATCAAACTAATCCATCCAATGGAGAAGCTCCACGTTGGCGTTTCTAGAACATTCCCATAGCCGTGATTGGATGGAATGTCTACGGCTCTTCCTGGGCTTCTTAGGGTTTCCTAGAGTCTACCGACGGGCCGTCCTTACACCTCCCCCTTTAAAGTCTGTGATGTATGAATTTCTTTTTAAATTTTCTTGAAGCATTGTTGTTGTTCTCGTTTTTCTGTTCATCACCCTTGTCGGCTGAACGCTCTCACTCTTACGTTTTTCTAGTCGTTGGTTACGGCCTTCTTTCGGGTCTTTCTCCACCAGAATGTGGAACGGTACTTGTGTTTCTTTTGCTGCTGTTCTATGATTCCTTTTTATCTGATTCATATGTCTGGTACATTTTCCGTCCCTTCCACGGACTAAATAAAGTACTTTCCCGACACGCCGTACTATGACACCTGGTTCCCATTTCTGACCGCCTTGATACTTTACAAGTACTTTTTCGCCGCGGTCGTTCGTCTGATACTCTTGTACAGGTTTTCTTCTTTTCTTGGGTGGCGATTTTTTTCTGAATATCCATGGGTTCTTTGCCTGAACTTCTGATTCACCTTCTCCTGCGGCAATGAGTACGTCTTCTCCATGTTTTGCCTGGGGACCAATCAGACTTGAGAGTGCATCAGATCTTACCGGACTACATATATGATTAATTGGCTGGTTAGCCAACTGCAACATTTCTATTAGGTCAGGACCAAGCAAATCTAGTCCTGGGCTTTCCGTGAGATATACTTTCGCGTTCTTCTGTACATCTCCTTTTTTAACTGGACAGTATTTCTCTCCAACAATATTTAACTTTCCTCCAGATGCACTGTGTGCTAACTGAGTTGTAGGGAGCACCGAGGGTTTGCCAATATGATTCCATGTTTTGCGGCTGATAAGTGAAATATCTGAAGCAGTGTCAAGCTGTAGATGAGCACGGCGTCCATTAATCTCTAAGGTCACATATTTTCTTCGATGATGTTCTGTTCTGGTATGTGCCACCATTATTCTATTGGTTGATGAACAGTTTTTACGTCTTCGGAAATGAACACTTGATGAACGACAGTGCATCTTCTTCTTAAAACATGTTTCTTTATGTCCTTTGAGCTGACATCTAGTGCACCGGTAGTTTTTGTATGGGCAGAACCTTTTGTAATGCAGCTCTCCGCAAAACCAACATGCGGGTGGAGGCTTCTTAATGGTTGCGTTCTGCTTTTGCTTCCCACTTACTGCCTGTACATAATGTAGTCGACCATTATTTTTTACCATTGAAGTGTCATGCTTCAAGTTCACCAGATGCTGACATTCAGTAGTCACCTCTTGAAGGGTGATATTTGGACACTGTTCAATTTTACTTAGAATTCTGGTTCTGATGTCGGCATCTTCTGAAGACTGTAAGCTGCATACGAAAACAAGACATTTGAATTGGTCTTCTGTCATTGCTGATAGTTTGAAGCGCTCACATTCACGATTTACTATGCTAGCATGTTGCACCCAGTCATCGTTGCCAGCTTTTACTATCTTCAGGCACTGATATCGAATATTGAACAAGGAAGACTGTTCACCAAAAATTTGCGACAAAATTTTAACTGTTTCTTCGAATGAAATGTCTCTTGGGTTCTTGGGCAGAATGTAATTAGTGTATCGTTCATGTTCAATGGTCCCCAGCTTTCGTAGTAGCACTCTGACCTTGGCGGCATCATCAAACGCTTCTAGGTCAACATTAAATACATCTTCATATTTCTTGCACCAAGATTCGAATGTTACACCAGCCAAACCATCAAAATGAAATTCGTGAATGGAATCAATGATACAATCAGCATGCGATTTAGCAGAAGCATCTGTAAGTCCATTCTTATTGAGGTTCATTTGCTGGGTTAGTGATTCAAGTATGCGAATCTGGAATGGTTCAAAGCGTTTTTCATGGCGCTCTAGAAAAGCTTGAAATTGGTCAAAGGTAACAGACATATTGATAAATTAAACCGTCGCCAGTTGTTATATCTAGAGACTTGATTCTTAATATGCCGCGAACTACTTGACTACTTGAACGATAGAACCCGCAAAACGTCGCAAAAAGAGAGAAGACAAAGACTAGTAAGCAGGAAGTTTTTTGCCCCGAACAGTGTCAAAATATAGCACAGAAATCTCGTGTATTTATAGTTATTGGCTGAAAATAAATTATCATTTAGGTCAACCAATAAGCACATAGGTATCAAACTAATCCATCCAATGGAGAAGCTCCACGTTGGCGTTTCTAGAACATTCCCATAGCCGTGATTGGATGGAATGTCTACGGCTCTTCCTGGGCTTCTTAGGGTTTCCTAGAGTCTACCGACGGGCCGTCCTTACAATTCTTAATTGAATAAAACTTAGAAACCTTTTTTCCATTAAAGTATTTGACAGGCTTGTCTTTTCACAGGTGGGTAAATCACACAGTGAAGTTAAATTTATAGGAGTTGAATATCAGTAAACTGTTATAATTTGTCAGTATCAACTGTCAGTATCAACTATCCATCTTTGCTTAGAAATTCTTATTGTTATTCACTGGTCATGTAAACTGATCAGTCTCTTTGACATACTGGTCAATGTATAGTTTATATTATTAATCATTCTTCATTGAATAATACTTGGAAACCATTTTTCCATTTAAATATTTGATAAGCTTGTCTTTTCACAGGTGGGTAAATCACACAGAGAAGTAAAATTTATAGGAGTTGAATATCAGTAAAGTGTTATAATTTGTCAGTATCAACTGGTTTACCTATCAGTTTTTGTTTGAATATTTTGTATACAGTAAATTACACGCAGCTCAGCAATAATAATTCTCGATGGCACTACAACAACAAGCGAATATGTCGACTGCTTTTACAAAATGGATTTTGTTTGTTTTATTGGTTGTACTCATAGATCAATTCATATAGTCCAGGCATATAAGAGATTGGTGAAGTTTTCGAACAAAACAATGGAACTATACTTATAGTTACATATATTTGTAAGTATAGAGAAACTCTCACTATTCGTATGAAATTCAGTTGATGACATTGACTA